TAATACAAATTGTTACCAAAGTCTGCTTGTCTTTGTCATGAAAAATAAACATTTATATGATACCCTTAATGTATTCCTTAGTGAAGCCGTAAATTGATATACATAGCAAAGTACTGGATCCAAATGTAGGATTTTTAAACGGAAAGGAAGAAAGAGAGAGACAGACAGACACAAACAGAGATTAGAAGCGATTCAACAATACAAAAGGGTGACGTCAGGAGAATATCTAATCTTCCTATTCCCATACAAAGGTGATCGAATATGGGGTATATATAGAGGGGTGGGAGAAGTCTCTCTACTAGCCGAGTTTATTCGAGCGAAGTGGAAAGCCACGATGAAGACGTTTGCTCCTGTTGGCTTCCTGTTGCTTCTGATCCCCTTCTGTCATGGGAGGATCCTCAACTCCCTGCACACAGAGGCGAGTCAGTGGCGTAAGTTACCTTGCCCGAACCCCGATGATATCCTGCCTTGTATATGCACCGCGGACGAGGATAATCAAATGGACTTGGACTGTTCGCGAGTAGCGAGCGAGGACGAACTGGAGAGAGTGTTTTCGTCGACCTTTCCCTTTAGTACTTTCCGAAACTTGACCGTCGTTGATAACACTTATCTGAAGACCCTGAAGAACCAATCCCTCGGCATCGCCTCCTTCACGGGCGTGTACATCATGAACAGCGTGCTGGAGGTGGTGGAATCCCACGCCCTTGTGAACAGCTTTGGCACTGCTCAGGTGATCAACATGCAGAACAATCTCATCTCTTCCTTTCCCTTCGAAATCCTGCCCTCCTTCACCAGCCTCCTGGAGCTGGACGTGAGTTACAACCAGCTGCCTTTCCCCGCACTCGTGTCCCAGACGCTGCTCGTGCTCGACCTCTCCCACAACCAGGCCGTCGACGTCTCCTCCGACGCCTTCGCTGCTCTGCCTGACATCTCGGAAATCAGACTTGGTGGGAATCAGATCTCCGTGGTTCCGACTGGTAAGGCGTCTTTATCGTATTTCCAACCTTGGCTTGATCATGATCGATAATTTCCCGTCCGTGTGATATGTCTCACGCTGCCGCTCTGGGACAAAAGGACCGGCATCCAGACACGCTTCCTTCTTCCGTCTTCGCCAGGAACATTTGCCGGTCACCGGAATCTGTACCACGTGGACCTCGAAGCGAACGCGCTGACCTACCTTCCCGAGGGCGCCATACAGCTGACCTCCAGCAGTGCGGGGACGGTCATTCTGCGGGGGAACCAGATCGCAGATGTTGCTGTTAATAGCATAACAGGTGAGTTTTCGGATATTCCATGAACATCTAGTAGGCTTATATGTCTTTTGGCCTATGTCATTAACCACATACGTGGCTGAAACAATAATAACAAATCTGAGGGAATATATATATATATATATATATATATATATATATATATATATATATATATACATATCTATATATATACAAGCATATGTAAAATAAGAAAAAATAACTGCAATAAACTTAAATAAAAAGAAAAGAAAAAAGTATAATCCAGAATAGCATTAGTGAATTATGTATCATTATGATCAAGATGTGTCCGGCGGCCAAGTGGACATCAGCAACAATAATTTGAAAGCTTTGAAGGAAGACGTTTTCCGACCAATTCTGGCAGAACACACAACTCTTGACATCAAAGGTAAGACGTTGAAAAAAAAGAACGTAACTAAATGAATCGATAAATGAAAAGAAAAGTATTCATGTTACTAATAGAATTATATAAAAAAAAAAGAAAAAAAAATATATATATATATAAATGACATTGTTTATTTGGTTTATATTTGCTCCCATACTTTTTCACTTCTCTTGCTTTCTCTCTTATTAAAACTTATTCTCTCTTTGCATTTAGTTTTTTTCTCTCTGTCTCACTCTTATTAGGGGCCTTCTTCCCTAAATTAACCCTATCCCTGAGCCAAAGCTTCACGGTCGTTATTTATGCCGTCAATACTCTCTCTCTCTCTCTCTTTATATATAAATATTTCCTCTTCATTCTTATTAGAAACCTATCTCCCTCTCTGAATTAAGTCTCCCCCCTCCCCCCCTCCCCCCCAGACAACCCGTTGACCTGCGGCTGCGACATCGCGTGGCTGATCCGTGACATAACCCTGCTGGCGCTGGTGGCGGAGGGCGCTGCCTGCTACGACGGGGAGCTGCTCGCCGACCTCGATCCATGGATGTTCGATGACCTGGGATGCCCCTAGGGTTGGGATGTGTGTGTGTTTATGTATATATATGATATATGTGTAATATAATATACGTATATATAATTGTATTAGGAATGAAATGCACACACGATGTTTTACAAAATAATAATTATTATTATTTAATCAAATTGCATGCCATATTTGTGTTCGTTAATTTAAAAATTGTGTCTCTAAACTGACCTCAAAATATTACAGCGAACTAGATCTTTACGATTCTGATGTAGTTTGTAGTATTCATAAAGAGAACAAGACAGATATTATTGGCCTGTTGCCTCTCCATACCCAATAGGAAAAAATGAAGCCAGAGATTAAACTTCATAAAACTGAAAGAGAGAGAGTGGAGTATCGAGAGAGAGAGAGAGAGAGAGTGGAGTATATATATATAGAGAGAGGACTAGAGGAAGAGAGAGAGTATGGAGTAGAGAGACAGTGGGGTAAAGAGAGAGAGAGTGGAATAGAGAGCAAGAGAGAGAGAGAGATTGGATTAGAGAGAGAAAGAGAAAGAGAAAGAGAGAGAGAGAGAGAAAGAGAGAGCGAAGGCGAGAGAGAGAGCAAGAGAGAGAGAGACCGTGGAAGAAATAGCAAATCGGCTTTTGATTTTTACCCCCCAACATTTTGCGCCCCTCTCCCCCTCCCCCCCCCTCCCCTCTATCCCTATCCCAGCACAGTCTGGGTAAAGTTGCTCAATATTTTTTTTGTTTTATTGGATCATCTGTATCTGCACCTGCCAGCCTGTATTTTATTTTATTTTTTTATTTTTTGCTTTCTCTTTCCAAAGTACTATTCTAAAATAAACTTTAATTGTATTATTAAATTCCTTGATTCCTCATAAACGAAGCCATTTATTTACTTATTTCAGGTTGTTAGGGTATCATTAGAAAAACGAACATAATAAATCTCTATTTTCATTATTACTCTGATTATCACGTATTTGTATCCCGTCATATTTAATGATTAATGAAAGGGAATCACTCGCCTAAATTTAAACTGAAATACAACGGGTAAGTTTATTTAAGGAAGGCATGGGATGTGAAAGACAAATAGAGCATTTTCCTCATGAGAAAACTTTCATCTTCGTTTCATTATTAAGTAGTTAAAGGGGAAAAGGAAGAGACATCTCAGGCATTCAGAAAAAAAAAAAAACTGTTATTTCCAATACCCAGAAGTTTGGAGACACCATTGATTAGGGGTCTTTATTATGACGAAAGGTGATCAAACACCGTAAAAGATTTAGGCTTGTTTACCACAGTACGTTAGGTTTCCATTTTGTTTCGTTTGTTGATTTTGTTTTTCGTTCTCTCTCTCTCTCTCTCTCTCTCTCTCTCTCTCTCTCTCTCTCTCTCTCTCTCTCTCTCTCTCTTTCTCTCTCTCTCTTTCTCTCTCTCAGTCACCAATCTAGATATTTTAACGAATATTCAAATCAGTGTTTTATTAATTCACTTCATAATTTTCATCATGGAAGGAGACTAAATAAAATCAATCCAGTCATAAACTAGTTATTTTATACATTCTAAAATGCTGGGAATCAAAACAAAGAATATGTTTTGAAAAATATGTTTTTTATTCAAATTGTTTACCGGGTATCATATTTTATGTTGCATGTTAATTAACAACAAACTGCAATGATAATATGCTAATTAAAACTGAAAACTATAAGGGCAACGGAGAGGAGGATCTGTGCTGAGGGAGATGCTGGGATGCGAACTCCAGTCGGGGAAGATCACCTGCAGAAAGAAACATGTTTTGTTTCACGAGAGAGAAGCGAGTGTTTGTTTGTGTTATTCTCTCTGTGTGAGTGAAGATATACTTTCATTTTTATCGTTCTATGTATCTTAATGTATATATATATATATATATATATATATATATATATATATGTGTGTGTGTGTGTGTGTGTGTGTGTGTGTGTGTGTGTGTGTGTGTGTGTGTGTGTGTGTGATGATAAAAAAAATAGTAACAGTAATAATAGTAAGAATGATGATGGTAATGATTTATAATAATAATGATAATAAAGATGGTAATAATATTACTAATAATACTACTAATAATGCTGCTGATGATAATGATAATAATGATAATGATAATAGTAATTACTACAATAATTGTAATAATAACATCATTAAGAATAATAATGACAATGATAACAATAATGATGATAATAATAATGTTGATAAGGCTGATGATAATGATAATGAAAATGATGAAAAAGTAATGAAATTAATGATAATATGAGTAATAACAAAATAATAATAATAATGATAATAATAATAACAATTTCTACGATGATAATAAAGATAATAATATTAATAGTAATAGCAACACCAATAATAACAACAATAATGATAATGATAATAATAATGACCACAGTAACGTTAATGATTGTAATATCAATGATAATGATAACCAATGATAATGATAACCAATGATAATGATAATGCAAGAGAAAGTGAGAGGACACAGTCAGCCGCAACATTAAGGTCCAGACCTCGAGAGGGGCAGATGCTCCCCCCCCCCATCCCCACCACTTCCCCTACCCACCCCATCCTCACCACTCTACTCCACTCTCACTATACCCCCCTCCTCCCCCCGGAAACCCCCTCTCACCTCCCCCTTCTCACCTCCCCCCCACCCAACCTCCTCCCCACCCTCCCCGACCTCTCCCCTCCTAAGACACGCCCTAAGACACGCCCTAAGACACGCCCCCTGGACACGCCCCCTGGACACGCCCCCTGGACACAGACGAGAACCGAAGCAACCGAAACAGCGAATCCCCACCCTAGGGGCATCCCAGGGCGTCGAACATCCCGGGGTCGAGGTCGACGAGCAGCTCCTCGTCGTAGCAGGCAGCGCCCTCCGCCACCAGCTTCAGCAGGTTCTCGTCGCGGATCAGCCACGCGATGTCGCAGCCGCAGGTCAACGGGTTGTCTGGGGGGGGGGGGGAGACTTAATTCAGAGAGGGATATAGGCAGAGGGCCCCAAGTTTGAGGGGCTTGGTAATAAAAAATTATGTTGAAAACAAAAGATAGCTATGCTAGTTTATTCAAAGAATTTGCAATAAGTTTACTTATATATAAATATATCACGAGTAAAAAATATTCTGAGGGGGCCCCATAATTTCATTTGCCTAGGGGCCCCAAAAGGTTATAATCCGGCCCTGGATATAGGTTTCTAATAAGAATGAAAAGGAAATATTTATATACAAAGAGAGAGAGAGAGAGATTTGACGGCATAAATAATCACCGTGAAGCGTTGCCTGGGAGTGGGGGGGGGGGCAGTTAATCTAGGGAAGGTCCCTAATAAGAAAAAACTAAATATAAAAAGAGAACAAGGTTTAATAAGAAAGAAAACAAGAGAAGCGGAAAAGTATGAGAGAATATATATATATGAAATAAACAATGTCATATATACTTTCGTTTATGTTTTATATAATTTTATTAGTAGCATTAATAATTTTCTTTTTATTTATCCATTCATTTAGTTGCGTACATTTCCTTCTATGGTAAAACACACTACCGTTGTTGATACTATGGTAGAAAAACCCACAATGTAAAACTAAATAAATCTATTACTTTTGCTTCTTTTGCTTCTTTTGCTTGTTACTTCAGCGCCTTACCTTTGATGTCGAGAGCCGTGCCTTCAGCCAGAATAGGTCGGAAGACGTCCTCGTTCAAAGCCTTCAAAACGTTGTTGCTGATGTCCACGTTGCCGCCGGATACATCTTGATCATAATGAGACATAATTTACTAATGCTACTGTGGATTATACATTTTTTTATACATGTTTTTTTCTTTTTATTTTAGTTTATTGCAGATATTTTTTCTTACGTCTCATACGTTCGAATACATATGTATGTGTCTATATATAAATATATACATATATATATATATATATATATATATATATATATATATATATATATGTATGTGTGTGTGTGTGTCTGTATATATATATGTAAAATATATTCACTTAGATTTTTAACTGCTGTTTCAACCATTAAAATGCGAATGTGGTTAATGACATAACCCAGAAGACATATAAGCCTACTAAACGTTCATGGAATATCCAAAAACTCACCTGTTATGCTATTGACAGCAACATCTGCGATCTGGTTATTCCGCAGAATGACGGTCCCCTCACTGCTGGAGGTCAGCTGTATGGCGCCCTCGGGAAGGTAGGTCAGCGCGTTCGATTCGAGGTTCACGTGGTACAAGTTATGGTGGCCCGCGAAGGTGCCTGGCCAAGTTGTATCGAATGGCAAGTCGATATCATTAGGAATCGTTGGATAACATATACAGAATTTTAATAAATGTGCTGGGTCCAATATTAGCGTCAGCTGATTGTGATAACTGTTATATACAATCTAATAATGAGGATAGTGATGAAAATAACTCTAACAGTAACACCTCCACCTTACCTGTAGGAATTTGGCTTATTTGGTTTCCTCCGAGATTGATTTCCGAGATTTCCGGCGTAGCTGAGAAGGCCGTGGCGGAGACGTCGTCGACCTGGTTGTTGGACAGGTCGAGCGTGAGCAGCGACTCGGACCCGATGGCAGGAAAAGTCAGTTGGTTGTCGCTGAGGTCGAGCTCCACGAGGCTGCTGAAAGAGAACACGGTCTCGAAGGGAAACGAAGACAATGAGTTATTCTGCATGTTGATCACCTGAGCTGTGCCAAAGCTGTTCACAAGGGCGTGGGATTCCACCACCTCCAGCACGCTGTTCATGATGTACACGCCCGTGAAGGAGGCGATGCCGAGGGATTGGTTCTTCAGGGTCTTCAGATAGGCGTTATCAACGACGGTCAAGTTTCGGAAAGTACTGAAGGGAAAGGTCGACGAAAACACTCTCTCCAGTTCGTCCTCGCTCGCTACTCGCGAACAGTCCAAGTCCATTTGATTATCCTCGTCCGCGGTGCATATACAAGGCAGGATATCATCGGGGTTCGGGCAAGGTAACTTACGCCACTGACTCGCCTCTGTGTGCAGGGAGTTGAGGATCCTCCCATGACAGAAGGGGATCAGAAGCAACAGGAAGCCAACAGGAGCAAACGTCTTCATCGTGGCTTTCCACTTCGCTCGAATAAGCTGGACTGGTAGAGAGACGTCTCCCACCCCTCTATATATACCCCATATTCGATCAACTAGGTATGGGAATGGGAAGATTAGATATTCTTCTGAAGTCCCCATTTTTTATTACTGAATCGCTTCTAATCTCTGTGTCTGTCTCGACCTCGATTCGCCTCTCTATTTTACTTAATAAATATTCTTTCCGTCTAGAAATCATGCATTTTGATCCAGTACTTTGTTATGTTTATCATTTTTCGGCTTCGCTAGGGAATACATTAAGGGGATCATAAAAAAAAGTAGACCATAGAACTGTTTATTTTTTATGACAAGGACAAGTAGACTTTGGTAACAATTTATAATATTATTTTGTAGGACATATGGTTCTTAACTTAATTTGGTTCCATATCATGTCAAGGCCAGGTTACGCGAGAGCTTTTTTCAAGCAACCCGTTTGTGATACGATCCGATGTTACTTGTGGGCGGTTTTTCAACTTGCTGGTCACGCGGGCGAACAGAACCATCGCCTCTGCTCTCGGTTCCAACAACAAAAATGGCGTCTACTGTTCCCGCGCGGTCTTCCTCGCAGGTTCTTAGTCGTCTGTTGTAGTGATCGAAAAGTAATCGATAAGTGATTGCAAAAGTAATCGAGGTAATTGATAAATAAAAAGAGTATTTCTCATCACTACTAAGATTTGTCGTTGAAAAACGCTAGCATGACCGCCCTTTAATCCACCACACTAACGGTACTATTATTATTATTGTTATCATCATCAGTATCATCACCACCATCATCATCATAATCGTCATCGCCATCGTCATTGTCATCGTCATCGTCATCATCATCATCATCATCGTCATCACCATTGCCATCGTCATCGCCATCGCCATCGTCATCATCATCATCATCATCATCATCGTCATCGCCGTTACCATTGCCATCGTCATCGCCATCGTCATCATCATCATCTTCATCATCATCATCATCGTCATCGTCATCGTAATCTCCATCGTCATCGTCATCATTATCATAATCATCATCACCACCATCACCATAATAATCATCATCATCGTCATTAGAACGTTGTAGAACAGAGCAACACTCTTTACAGTGTTGAAATGAAACAGTCACAACCCATTTTCATTTCCTTGTAAATTCTTGTAAATGATTATTAATTGAAAAGCTTACATCATATAGGACGTGGATCTTTACATAGCAGATAAAGAGCAAGTGGCAACCCAAGGTAAGATAAGGGACCCATTGCATGAGAGGCTGATTGCAGGAGACAGCGCAACCGTATGGCAAGTCTTTTAAGAGATACAAACGCAATTTGGATACATGGAAGTTAGAAGCAGATGTAAATAACTCCGAATGAAATATTAAAAAGTAGTGATAATATATGTACAATGATTTCTCCAGAAAATTGTAGCACATCTAATCAGAGACCTAATGAATATGAAACAAATATTGTTAATCACAACTTGGACAGAAAATACCACAATTAGAGGCACTTTATTAAGACTTAACTAAATTATAGGGCGACTCATAAATTTCCCGATTCAGAAATTTAGGCGCAACATTGTACGAATTAACTATCATTAAAAACCTTCAATTTTATGTACTCATCACGAATTTATCCTTGAACTTAATTCCATAGAATTTGGTGCGCAGCTACAGCGAACACTTAACTCTATTTTAATTTTTCATTCTTAAGTAATTTGCAAGAATCGTGGCGCAAAAGAGAAAAGATACGGGCCATGTCAGTGAATCATTTGCCTATCTTGATTTAATGGTGCGTGGAGACTGATTAATACATGACTTGATTTCCATTCCCACAGACTGTCTATTCTGCGATTGATTATGAAATAGTAGTTATGGTTAAGTTCGTGTTTGTCTGTTCGTTCCAGTATTATTCCACGCAGAAAGAAGTCATTTCATCTACTGGTTCTTTCAGAGGGAATCTAATGATGATAAAGGTGATGGTGATGATGATGGTGATAGTGGTGGTGATGATGATGATGATGATGATGCTGGTGATGATGATGACGATGACGATGCTGGTGATGATGATGGTGATGGTGATGGTGGTGATGATGATTATGATGATAATTGTTATAATTATTAGTCATGATTATTAATTAAGGAGGAAAGGAAGAGACATGTCAGGGATACAGAAGAGGCAATTATTTACACTCTCTCTTTGTCTCATTCTCTCTCGCTCTCTCTCTCTCTCTCCAATCTAAATATTTTGAACGAATATTCAAATCGGTGATTTATCAATTCACTTCATATTTTTCATCACGGAAGGTGATAAAGAAAGTGATAAATTAGTTTCAGCGTTCTGAGAATGCTGGGAAATAAATTAAGGATACGAAATTAAAGTTTTAAAAAATATATTATTATTTTATTGAAACTGTTTACCGGGCATCATATTTTATTTCGCTTGTTAATTAACAACTAACTGCAATGATAATAACATATTAATTAGGATATCATAATTGCAGTTAGTGATAATAGTTATCTTGTCATATTTTGCTTTACACAGTCACACATGAAACCAACCTATACAATCGAACAGATAGAAACTGAAAGCTATACGGGCAACGGAGAGGAGGATCTGTGCTGAGGGAGATGCTGGGATGCGAACTCCAGTCGGGGAAGATCACCTGCAGAAAGAAACATGTTTTGTTTGACGAGAGAGAAGCGAGTGTTTGTATTATTCTCTCTGTGTGAGTGAAGATATACTTTCAATTTAATTGTTCTATGTATCTTATATATATACATAGATATATAAATAATGATAAAAATGATAGTAATAGTTATAATTATAATAATGATGATGGTGGTATTAATACTGCTAATAATAATGGTAATAATAATAAGAATGATAATCATGCTAATAATAGTGATAATACTAATACTAATAATTATATATTTATATTGATGACGATAATGATAATAATAATAAGAATAACAACAACAATAATTATAATAATGATAACAATAATAATGTTGATGATGACGATAATAATAATAACAATAATGGTGTTAACAATAATGTTGATAAGACTGATCATGATAATGATAATGATAATAATAGTATTGAAAATAATAAAAACAAAAACAATAATAATGATAATGAGAACAGCTACAATAATAGTTATAATGATGCAAATAATAATAGAAATAACAATAACAATAATAACAATAATATTGATAATGATGACCATAGTCATGATAATGATAGTAATGATAACGGTAATCATGATAGCAAGAGAGAGTGAGGACACAGTCAGCCACAACATTAAGTGTCCAGAGCTCGAGGAGGGCAGGAGGCCACTTCCAAAGAGAACTTCAGATAAAAGAAAGCATATCTTCCCCTGACCCCCCCCCCTCTCCACCGCTTCCCCCACCCACCCCATCCTCACCACTCTACTCCACTCTCACTACACCCCCCTCCGCCCCCCGGTACCCCCTCTCACTTCCCCCTCCCTACCTCCCCACCACCCAACCTCCTCCCCACCCTCCCCGACCTCTCCCCTCCTCAGACAGGCCCTAAGACACGCCCTAAGACACGCCCCCTGGACACAGGCGAGAACCGAGTCCTCACCCCTAGGGGCATCCCAGGTCATCGAACATCCCGGGGTCGAGGTCGACGAGCAGCTCCCCGTCGTAGCAGGCAGCGCCCTCCGCCACCAGCTTCAGCAGGAGGTCGTCGCGGATCACCCACGCGATGTCGCAGCCGCAGGTCAACGGGTTGTCTGGGGAGAAGAGAAGCGGTAAAGTATGAGAGCATATAGATAGATAGATAGATAGATATTACTAGCATTATTACTTTTCTTTTTATCTTTCGATTCATTTAGTTACGTACTTCTTTTGCTTGTTAGTTCAGCGCCTTACCTTTGATGTCGAGAGCCGTGCCTTCAGCCAGAATAGGTCGGAAGACGTCCTCGTTCAAAGCCTTCAAAACGTTGTTGCTGATGTCCACGTTTCCGCCGGACACATCTTGATCATAATGAGACATAATTTACTAATGCTACTGTGGATTATACATTTTTTTATACATTTTTTTTTTCTTTTTATTTTAGTTTATTGCAGATATTTTTTCTTACGTCTCATACGTTCGAATACATATGTATGTGTCTATATATAAATATATATATATATATATATATGTATATATATATATATATATATATATGTATGTGTGTGTGTGTCTGTATATATATATATAATATATTCACTTAGATTTTTAACTGCTGTTTCAACCATTAAAATGCGAATGTGGTTAATGACATAACCCAGAAGACATATAAGCCTACTAAACGTTCATGCAATATCCAAAAACTCACCTGTTATGCTATTGACAGCAACATCTGCGATCTGGTTATTCCGCAGAATGACCGTCCCCGCACTGCTGGAGGTCAGCTGTATGGCGCCCTCAGGAAGGTAGGTCAGCGCGTTCGATTCGAGGTTCACGTGGTACAAGTTATGGTGGCCCGCGAAGGTGCCTGGCCAAGTTGTATCGAATGGCAAGTCGATATCATTAGGAATCGTTGGATAACATATACAGAATTTTAATAAATGTGCCGGGTCCAATATTAGCGTCAGCTGATTGTGATAACTGTTATATACAATCTAATAATGAGGATAGTGATGAAAATAACTCTAACAGTAACACCTCCACCTTACCTGTAGGAATTTGGCTTATTTGGTTTCCTCCGAGATTGATTTCCGAGATTTCCGGCGTAGCTGAGAAGGCCGAGGCGGAGACGTCATCGACCTGGTTGTTGGACAGGTCGAGCGTGAGCAGCGACTCGGACCCGATGGCAGGAAAAGTCAGTTGGTTGTCGCTGAGGTCGAGCTCCACGAGGCTGCTGAAAGAGAACACGGTCTCGAAGGGAAACGAAGACAATGAGTTATTCTGCATGTTGATCACCTGAGCCGTGCCAAAACTGTTCACAAGGGCGTGGGATTCCACCACCTCCAGCACGCTGTTCATGATGTACACGCCCGTGAAGGAGGCGATGCCGAGGGATTGGTTCTTCAGGGTCTTCAGATAAGTGTTATCAACGATGGTCAAGTTTCGGAAAGTACTGAAGGGAAAGGTCGACGAAAACACTCTCTCCAGTTCGTCCTCGCTCGCTACTCGCGAACAGTCCAAGTCCATTTGATTATCCTCGTCCGCGGTGCATATACAAGGCAGGATATCATCGGGGTTCGGGCAAGGTAACTTACGCCACTGACTCGCCTCTGTGTGCAGGGAGTTGAGGATCCTCCCATGACAGAAGGGGATCAGAAGCAACAGGAAGCCAACAGGAGCAAATGTCTTCATCGTGGCTTTCCACTTCGCTCGAATAAGCTGGACTGGTAGAGAGACGTCTCCCACCCCTCTATATATACCCCATATTCGATCAACTAGGTATGGGAATGGGAAGATTAGATATTCTTCTGAAGTCCCCATTTTTTATTACTGAATCGCTTCTAATCTCTGTGTCTGTCTCGACCTCGATTCGCCTCTCTATTTTACTTAATAAATATTCTTTCCGTTTAGAAATCATGCATTTTGATCCAGTACTTTGTTATGTTTATCATTTTCCGGCTTCGCTAGGGAATACATTAAGGGGATCATAAAAAAAAGTAGACCATAGAACTGTTTATTTTTTATGACAAGGACAAGTAGACTTTGGTAGCAATTTATATTATTATTTTGTAGGACATATGGTTCTTAACTTAATTTGGCTCCATATCATGTCAAGGTCAGGTCACGCGAGAGCTTTTTTCAAGCAACCCGTTTGTGATACGATCCGATGTTACTTGTGGGCGGTTTTTCAACTTGCTGGTCACGCGGGCGAGCAGAACCATCGCCTCTGCTCTCGGTTCCAACAACAAAAATGGCGTCTCCTGTTCCCGCGCGGTCTTCCTCGCAGGTTCTTAGTCGTCTGCTCTAGTGATCGAAAAGTAATCGATAAGTGATTGCAAAAGTAATCGAGGTAATTGATAAATAAAAAGAGTATTGCTCATCACTACTAAGATTTATCGTTGAAAAACGCTCGTATGACCGCCCTTTAATCCCCCACACAAACAGTACTATTATTATTATTATTGTTAGCATCATCATCAGTATAATCACCACCTTCATCATCATCAGTATCATCACCACCATCATCATCATCATCTTCATCATCATCTTCATCACCACCACCATCATCATCATCATCTTCATCATCATCAGTATCATCATCAACACCACCACCACCATCATCATCATCGTTATTAGAACGTTGCAGAACAGAGCAACACACGATGACTCTTTACAGTGATGAAATAAAACAGTTACAACCAATTTTCATTTCCTTGTAAATCTTTAGGGAAAGCTAACACCATATAGAACATGGATCTTTACATAGCAGATAAAGAGCAAGTGGCAACCCAAGGTGAGATAAGGGACCCATTGCATAAGAGGCTGATTGCAGGAGACAGCGCAACCGTATGGCAAGTCTTTTAAGAGATACAAACGCAATTTGGATACATGGAAGTTAGAAGCAGATGTAAATAACTCAATGAAAAACTGAGACTCCGAATGAAATATTAAAAAGTAGTGATAATATATGTACAATGATTTCTCCAGAAAATTGTAGCGCATCTAATCAGAGACCTAATGAATATGAAACAAATATTGTTAATCACAACTTGGACAGAAAATACCACAATTAGAGGCACTTTATTAAGACTTAACTAAATTATAGGGCGACTCATAAATCTCCCGATTCAGAAATTTAGGCGCAACATTGTACGAATTAACTATCATTAAAAACCTTCCATTTTATGTACTCATCACGAATTTATCCTTGAACTTAATTCCATAGAATTTGGTGCGCAGCTACAGCGAACACTTAACTCTATTTTGATTTTTCATTCTTAAGTAATTTGCAAGAATCGTGGCGGAAAAAAGGAAAGATACGGGCCATGTCAGTGAATCATTTTCCTATCTTGATTTAATGGTGCGTGGAGACTGATTAATACATGACTTGATTTCCATTCCCACAGACTGTCTATTCTGCGATTGATTATGAAATAGTAGTTATGGTTAAGCTCGTGTTTGTCTGCTCGTTCCAGTATTATTCCACGCAGAAAGAAGTCATTTCATTTACTGGTTCTTTCAGAGGGAATCTAATGATGATAAAGGTGATGGTGATGATGATGGTGATGGTGGTGGTGATGATGATGATGATGATGCTGGTGAAGATGATGACGATGACGATGCTGGTGATGATGATGGTGATGATTATGATGATGATAATTGTTATAATTATTAGTTATGATTATTAATTAAGGAGGAAAGGAAGAGACACGTCAGGGATACAGAAGAGGCAATTATTTACACTCTCTTTGTCTCATTCTCTCTCTCTCACTCTCTCTCTCTCTCTCTCTCTCTCTCTCTCTCTCTCTCTCTCCAATCTAAATATTTTGAACGAATATTCAAATCGGTGATTTATCAATTCACTTCATATTTTTCATCACGGAAGGTGATAAAGGAAGTGATAAATTAGTTTCAGCGTTCTGAGAATGCTGGGAAATAAATTAAGGATACGAAATTAAAGTTTTAAAAAATATATATGTATTATTTTATTGAAACTGTTTACCAGGCAACATATTTTATTTCGTTTGTTAATTAACAACTAACTGCAATAATAATAACATATTAATTAGGATATTATAACTGCAGTTAGTGATAATAGTTATCTTGTCATATTTTGCTTTACACAGTCACACATGAAATCAACCTATACAATCGAACAGATAGAAACTGAAAGCTATACGGGCAACGGAGAGGAGGATCTGTGCTGAGGGAGATGCTGGGATGCGAACTCCAGTCGGGGAAGATCACCTGCAGAAAGAAACATGTTTTGTTTCACGAGAGAGAAGCGAGTGTTTGTTTGTGTTATTCTCTCTGTGTGAGTGAAGATATACTTTCATTTTAATCGTTCTATGTATTTTATATATATACATAGATATATAAATAATGATAAAAATGATAGTAATAGTTATAATGATAATAATGATGATGGTGGTATTAATACTGCTAATAATAATGGTAATAATAATAAGAATGATAATCATGCTAATAATAGTGATAATACTAATACTAATAATTATATATTTATATTGATGACGATAATGATAATAATAAGAATAACAAAAACAATAATTATAATAATGATAACAATAATAATGTTGATGATGACGATAATAATAATAACAATAATGGTGTTAACAATAATGTTGATAAGACTGATGATGATAATGATAATGATAATAATAGTATTGAAAATAATAAAAACAACAAAAACAATAATAATGATAATGAGAACAGCTACAATAATAGTTATAATGATGCAAATAATAATAGAAATAACAATAACAATAATAACAATAATATTGATAATGATGACCATAGTCATGATAATGATAGTAATGATAACGCTAATCATGATAGCAAGAGAGAGTGAGGACACAGTTAGCCACAACATTAAGTGTCCAGAGCTCGAGGAGGGCAGGAGGCCACTTCCAAAGAGAACTTCAGATAAAAGAGAGCATATCTTCCCCTGACCCCCCCCCCTCTCCACCACTTCCCCCACCCACCCCATCCTCACCACTCTACTCCACTTTCACTACACCCCCCTCCGCCCCCCGGTACCCCCTCTCACTTCCCCCTCCCTACCTCCCCACCACACTCAACCTCCTCCCCACCCTCCCCGACCTCTCCCCTCCTCAGACACGCCCTAAGACACGCACCCTGGACACGCCCCTGGACACAGGCGAGAACCGAGTCCTTACCCCTAGGGGCATCCCAGGTCATCGAACATCCCGGGGTCGAGGTCGACGAGCAGCTCCCCGTCGTAGCAGGCAGCGCCCTCCGCCACCAGCTTCAGCAGGAGGTCGTCGCGGATCACCCACGCGATGTCGCAGCCGCAGGTCAACGGGTTGTCTGGGGAGAAGAGAAGCGGTAAAGTATGAGAGCATATAGATAGATAGATAGATAGATATTACTAGCATTATTACTTTTCTTTTTATCTTTCGCTTCATTTAGTTACGTACTTCTTTTGCTTGTTAGTTCAGCGCCTTACCTTTGATGTCGAGAGCCGTGCCTTCAGCCAGAATAGGTCGGAAGACGTCCTCGTTCAAAGCCTTCAAAGTGTTGTTGCTGATGTCCACGTTTCCGCCGGACACATCTTGATCATAATGATAAATAATTCACTAATGCTACTGTGGATTATGCAAATGATTTTTTTCTTTTCTTTTAATCTTTTTATCTAAGGGTATTGTCATTTTTGTTTTACGTTACATACATACATTACATTATATGTATATATATGTGCATATGTATGTATGTATGTAGAATATATTCTTTTAGATTTTAACCACTGTGTTTCAGCCACTAAATTGCATATGTAGTTAATGACATAGGCCAAAAGACATATAAGCCTACTAGATGTTCATGGAATATCCGAAAACTCACCTGTTATGCTGTTAACAGCAACATCTGCGATCTGGTTCCCCCGCAGAATGACCGTCCCCGCACTGCTGGAGGTCAGCTGTATGGCGCCCTCGGGAAGGTAGGTCAGCGCGTTCGCTTCGAGGTCCACGTGGTACAGATTCCGGTGACCGGCAAATGTTCCTGGCGAAGACGGAAGACGGAAGCGTGTCTGGATGCCGGTCCTTTTGTCCCAGAGCGGCAGCGTGAGACATACCACATGGACGGGAAATTATCGATCATTATCAAGCCAAGACTGAAAATATGATGAAGATGCCTTACCGGTCGGAACCACGGAGATCTGATTCCCACCAAGTCTGATTTCCGAGATGTCAGGCAGAGCAGCGAAGGCGTCGGAGGAGACGTCGACGGCCTGGTTGTGGGAGAGGTCGAGCACGAGCAGCGTCTGGGACACGAGTGCGGGGAAAGGCAACTTGTTGTAACTCACGTCCAGCTCCAGGAGGCTGGTGAAGGAGGGCAGGATTTCGAAGGGAAAGGAAGAGATGAGATTGTTCTGCATGTTGATCACCTGAGCCGTGCCAAAGCTGTTCACAAGGGCGTGTGATTCCACGACTTCCAGCACGCTGTTTATGATGTACACGCTCGTGAAGGAGGCGATGCCGAGGGATTGGTTCTTCAAGGTCTTAAGAAACACATTATCAACGACGGTCAAGTTTCGGAAAGTACTGAAGGGAAAGGTCGACGAGAACACTCTCTCCAGCTGCTCCTCGCTTTCGACGTGAGAGCAGTCCATGTCCATGCGATTACTCTCGTCCGCAGTGCATGTACAGGGAAAGATATCTTCAGGATTCGGACACGGCAACTTACGGAAAATGCTTTCACCCTTCTCGATAGGGTTTCGGGAGGCTTTGAGGCCCGCTCCGTCGCCTCCTTGACAGAAAGTGACGAGGAGGAGCAAGAGAAGACCTGAGGATCGACGCTTCAACATGTTGGCTCTCCACGAAGTCCGACGAAGTTCAGCCGTTGGAGAGGCGAGCCTGGCTGATATTTATAGCCCATGTGCGGTCACCCGTATGTATGGGAAGTTTCGAAATAGATTAGATAGCCTATGGCTTCACGCCCTCTGCCATCTCGTCTTTGTCTGCCTGTGTATTCCGCATTTTGTCCCTCCCGTCACTGTTGTATTTCATCGGCTCAAAAAAGAAGAAGAAACTAGGACGCTTGCTCAGGAATAGCCTTATTACTTTTTCATTATTGATGTTTTTTGGCGTGAGGTTAAGAGGAAGAAAAAAAAAAAGCATATCTGCCCTTTTTATTATACTGCTCATATTTGACGGGGTTATCCTTTGGGTGTGTTCGTGAGTGTGTGCGTGTTTGTGTGTATATGTCTGTATATATTTGTGTATTTGTGCGTTTGTGTTCGTGTGTGTATGTGCGCGTTTGTGTTCGTGTGTGTATGTGTGCGTTTGTGTCCGTGTGTGTATGTGTGCGTTTGTGTTCGTGTGTGTCTGTGTGCGTTTGTGTTCGTGTGTGTCTGTGTGCGTTTGTATTCGTGTGTGTATGTGTGCGTTTGTGTTTGTGTGTGTATGTGTGCGTTTGTCTTCGTGTGTGTCTGTGTGCGTTTGTGTTCGTGTGTGTATGTGTGCGTTTGTGTTCGTGTGTGTATGTGTGTGTTTGTGTTCGTGTGTGTATGTGTGCGTTTGTGTTCGTGTGTGTATGTGTGCTGTATTACGAAACTGTTTTAGGGAAATCGCACGCCAAATCACACACAAAAAAATATACATAACATATGGTTGAATTGAAAGCTGCAGGATTTTTTTTAACTTCATCTTTTATTGAAAGGGACTTTGGACGACGCCAAGTGTAGGAATACCTCACCTGCAAAAAGAAATATTTAAATATATGAAAGAAATATTTAAATATATAAAAAAATATCTAAATATATAAGAGAAATATCTAAATATATAAGATGAATATAAAAATATATAATATAGATATCTAAATGTATAAGAGAAATATCTAAATGTATAAAATAAATATCTAAATATATAAGAAAAATATCTAAATACACAAAAAAAAGACATATTTGCTTATATAAAAGATGTATATTCTATGTGTTAAGGGAGAGAATCCAGCATTTTATTCACAATCGCAGAAAATCCAGTTGTATTTCTGAGAGGTTTTTGTATTGTATTGATGAGCATATAACATTCTATAAATTATGGTTAAGAATCCAACATTTTCTGCTGTAATACCAAATTTTGTACTGAACTTCTGAAAATCTAATATTTCTTACATACTGTTCAACATTTCTAGACTGAAGTTCTCTTTCTAAGTGAAAATTAAATTGTATTTTTGAGGGCACACTATTATTATACTTCTGAATATCCAACTTAATACACTGTATTGATGAGAATCCAAAATTCTGCAGTGTACTCCTGAAAATCCAATATATCATGCTACAGTGCTTAGTCCAACGTTTTATACATTATGGATGAAAATATAGTTGTATGTCTGATAACTCATTATTACTGTACTTCCGAAATATTTCACACGGTAATGCTGATTTTTATTAATTATGGGTAATAATCTAACATTTTCTACATTATTTCCAAAATTCTGTACTGTACTTCTGAAAATCCTACATTCATACCATACAGTATGGGTGAAAATCCGATTTTATTTCTGAAAATCCATTATTCTGAACTGTACTACTGAAAATCTAACTTTTTATACTGTGATGCTGAGAATTATATATATATATATATATATATATATATATATATATATATATATATATATATATATATGCATACATATAAATACACACACACACACAAACACACACACACACACACACACACACACACACACACACACACACACACACACACACACACACACACACACACGCACACACATATATATTGTAATAATCTGAGAAACATAGCATTTGTGTTTACTCTCCTAATTCATACTTGATCTCATATTCAAATTATACATTGATAATGAACAGTGGTCAACATCAACGCTAATATTTGTTTCCTACAATAAGAGATTAGTTCACAATAATGCAGATACTTATTTCAAAAGTAATATTGATAAAAATGATGATGGCAATAATATTATTAGGGTTACTACTACTACTACTAAAAGGAGGGGGTGAGAGGCTAACAGACATACAGAGACAGAGAGAGTTGGAGATAGAAAGAT